GCAGGTTTCACCTTGGGGGTGCGACTGGGCGCTCCGCGCTTGCATGTGGCTGCGCAGTTTCACTCGAAGCTCAACGCTGGGTATCGCCAAAGGCCGAGTGATTGTCATTTTGTTTCCAAGGCACACTGAGCGCTGCTCACTTTCGTTTGGAGGGGAGTTGTTGTCAGTGTTGCAGTTGTTCTTTCCTTTTATTTGGGGGGGTTGAATCTTGCCGTCAAAGACAATGCTGGCGGGCACCTCGTTTGTTGGCTAGAACTCTGGAAGGTTTTGCACCGGCCATGCTGAAACATGCTTGTTGCGGCGCTTGAGGAACACGTTCTTTTTTTTTTTGGGGGGGGTCCCCTTTCAGTCTTTGCTCAGCAGGAGTTAGCGAGCGCGACTTCAAAACAACATTGGGACTGGCAGCACTGAGAGGCCCATCAAGTGAGTCCAGTTCATCCCGCCCAGACCGGACAGGACAGTCCTGGCGGTTGTCCCTGACACATGTATGTTATCTTTGGCGCTAGAATTCTGTGAAAGTAAGCCCCGGCGAGCGTCTGTGTTGTACAGGTTGGAAGAGCCTTGGGAGAGAACTCCGCCCGAGGTGCCTCCGACGGCGCCTGGCGTCTGGCGCGTCAAGATTTGACCTGCTTGCTGCAGGAGCCTCATCCCCCGCTTCTGATGGGCGAAATCAGGTGGCATGCTTAAGAGTACGAGGGCACTGGAGTGGGTGCAGCAGAGGGAAAGAAGGCAGTAGCTGGGTGCGGCAGACGCAGTTGTCGGAGCGACAGTGGGTGCGACATATGGTGGTGCCATGCACAGAATGCTCTTGTACGTTGAACGCACCAAGTGTCCAAGTGGTTGGTTTTCGCACCTAATCAGTTTGGTTTGGTCCTTTTCACAGGACATTGTCCGAGTCCGCATCCCCAGGTAGGGGTAGTATGAGTTTGCAATTGTATGACATGGTCACAAAAGAAACTTGCACTCATGGCTTAGCGCTTAAAACTTAGTGGTGTTGGCATTCATCTGACAAGATCATGCGCCACAGGTTGTCAGCTGTCCATTTGCAAGGTAAGGCCAAGTCGCAAAGTTTCCTTGGCGTCCCATTTCAGCGCTCCCATCAAAGCCAAGTTGGGGGTCTGCCAGGACCTAGAGGCAGGATGCTGGCAGGGGAGGGGGCTGTGCAGTGAAATAGGTCTCCCGTCCCCTCAGACAGAGGTGTGGATTGGCAAAGTCAGTTGCAGTGTGGATTTGCTGGTTGGGTGCTGGGCTTCCCGCAAACTTCGCTGCACGCTCACGGTGGCCCTTACAAGCATTGCAGCTGGCTCATTTGCAAGTCCGGACACTTGTTTTTGAACGGCTGCATTCGCTTTGCTTTTTCACAGTCATGCGAGAGAAGTGATAAGCAAACCGCTCGGCTCCCACAATTTTTCTCTGAGATTTTGATCCACCAGCAGCCATTCCCTGATCAGAGTGTTTTTTAGGGCCCGGTTGTCGGACCTGGGATGGGAGTTGTTCGTAGCATGGCCAAATTTGTTGGGCGAGTTTTGATTTGGTTGCCGCATTTCGTGTCACCAACATCTTGGGCGCATGTGCATTTGGCATTGGTCGTGGGAAGAGGCCTTTTGACACTTCGAGTCTGCGGCCGAATGCACGGCTTAGGCCGTTCATCTGATCTCTGATTCCACAACTTTTCCCACAAGGAGCCTTCTGGGATTGAGGTGCCTTGTGTTGTTCCGAAGTCTTGTTGCAAAGCTAGCCAGCGGAAGTTGCCTCAGTCGCCTGCTGATTTGAAACACACTCCTCGCTCAGCTGCGCCTGGTTGCCGGTGCTTGCAAGCGGATACCCTACGGCTTCCTGACATAGCTCAGCGTGCCAAGAGATATCTCCACATAGGGACCCTCCCTATTCAGAAACAAGACGGGCAAAGGCGTGGCCGAAATTCCCGTTTCGTGAGTGTAGCGTTCGGAAACCTTTTGAACCTCACAGGACATGAAAAGGCATGGATTCGTGTGGGGCATTGATCTCCACATATCAGGAGAGGTCCCAGGAAGAGGTTCTGAAGCTCCAGACTCTTCTAAGACCCCCTTCAAAGAACATTTCTTGGTGGGTGGGGGGGGAGGGAGTGAGTTTTCCGTGGCGTCGGGCAGCCACGGGGTGATGCTTGGCCATGGCATCTTCCTGGTACTTCACCTGGCCACATCTGCGGACTCGAAGGCTGCGTGCGACTCGGCTGAGGGGCCGGAGTATGCGCTGCTTTCAATTCAAAGGAGCTACCAAAACGTCGACCTCGGCTAAATTCCAACATGCTGGATTGGTAGGGAAGTGTTTTTTTTCCAACAGTGAAAGGTTGCCTCTTGAACGAAACGACCCCTGTTCACCAACGATGATCCTCAACGGGCCGCACTAGCTGCTCTCATGCTTCTCGTTGCCGAGTTGCTCGGGCTCAATATTTGGGTTTAGCCTTTTTGGTAGGGACCTCCTTTTGGTCCTCAGCAAAATCACAACCACTACCACCGCTGCCGCCAATCCCAGCAGCAGCAGCAGCAGAGGGGCCGCCTAAGCCTCCTACGGCGTTCGCGTCCCTGAGCTTTTTTGGTTTTTTGTTTTTGTGGGAGACCCACCCAAGCCCCCTTCCCCAAACTCCCATCGGGTCACTTTCACGCCACGCAGGGCTTTCTTCGTCCAGCCCAGCCGTTTCCCGGGTGTTCGTTCGTTCGTGCCGAGGCGACATCCGGCGGCCCAAGGCCTGCCCGGCCAACGGGGTCCTGGACGCCCAATTTGCGGAGGCCCTGCGCTTCGATGGCGTGGGGGCGGTGTCTGCTCGAGGCGCGGGGACCTGGGACACGGAAGGGGAATTGGACAGAGCGGGCGGCGAAAGGTAAGCAGCTTCCGAACCGTTCTCACAAGGAGGGGACGCAGTTTGGGTTGAGTCGATCGTTTCGATTTTGGTGAGGGTTGTTCTGCATTCCGATGTTTGGAGTATGCTTCCCCAATCCGCCGGCCGTGAGCCCTGTGACCGTGCAACGGTTGGGAGCCAAGGAGGCGCCGACCTTTGCCACTTTGCGAATCTCCAAAGATCCCATAAACTGGGGAGTGATTTCACTATGAGTAGAATTCCGCTCCCGAGGACTTGTGCATTGCTGCTGAATGACTCAAGGAAGCTTCGAGGCTGTTGACGCATGGAATTCCTAGCTGCCAGGGGTTTGAAGTGGACACGTTGAGAACTCTACAATTCCCAAGACAGCTTTTGCAACATAGTCTGCACGCATCCTGGGGTGGGTCGGACTGCTCAGGCACCTCGCGGTACCTGTACGACTACGCGGAGCCGATGCGGTCGGAGATGCTCGACTTGCTGCGGCTTTGCGGCAAAAGGCGGGCAGGCTTTGGACATCCTCGGCGTTTGGGCCCTCAACTTTTGAACCATGCTAACCTCCTTGTAGGCATAACAGACCTTAGTTTCGTGAGAAAGGAGGAGTTGATTGTCAGATTTTTGAAGCCGAACCATGCCAACGGGCATTGTCTGGCGGAGGGTAGAAGGATGCAAAGAGAAGTGATGGAGCACCTACCCGTGACTTAGTCTGTGCGCCTTGACTTCGCTACGAGGGCTGCTTTGCCTGATATTGTGTAACAACTTGGAGGCTGGGGCGGGGGTCTGATGTCTTGTTTTGCGCGCACCACCCGAGCATGCAATTGGGCAGTGCCGCGGCCCACTTTGACATTTCTTCAAACGCACTTGTGTCCAGTCCGTGGCTTACAGCGACTTGCCGCCTTTGCCTGCTGGTTGAGGTTGGCCCCCCTTTGGTCGTCCCAGCCGCAGAAACCCTCCGAACATATTGTGAAGCGCCGTTGGCACCGTGTGAGCCTCACGCTTGCGCTGTGAGTTTAGGTGTGTGTGGGCTGAGGTTTCTTCCAGGCTACGCGGCCTCCATCCAGGCCTGGCGCTTGGGGAAACAGGCATGGCACCTGGCAAGCGCTGAGGCTAGAACCAAGCATGCATGTTTTTGGGTGGCCCTGGGCACGCCCCATCGCCTTTGGCTGAAAATGCAAGTCTATCAGGGGAGCCGACCATATTCGAACAAGCCCCCTCAAAAGAGAGCAGCTCTTCGCTCTGGCTCAGGTGCTCAAAGTAGAAATCGGCGGGGATGCGCAGTCCGGGCGCCTCGGCAGGTCGCATGCGTCGAATGGGTTTGGGAGTTCGGATCCTTTACGTTTTGAGGAAACATCCACTGTTCATGTGATGCATGTGTGGGCAGAAAACAATTCTTCAACCTTTCAAGAATGCAAAACAAGAGGCCGAGAAAAGCTCAAATTCAAGCTTGACTAGCCTGGTGAAGAACACAGCCGCACCGGGATCTCTTTTTCCCAGTCTTCGAAGCATTCATCTCAATGGACCCGCGCCAGTCAAAAGCGCAGTTGGTCAACCCAGTGTTTTGGTGTCGAACATGCAAAGGGCTTCGAAAATTGTGATCAAATCCACAGGTTGGCTTGGACACTGCCTCCTCTCCAAAGCCTCGCTCAGGTTTGGCACAGAGCCGAGCCATCGCCGGAGCGAAGATCAGGTGGCCTGCAACCGGTCCCGTGCCTTCTGGCTCGTGCGGGAGGCGGTGAATCGGTCGGGAATCGCCGGGTTTCGGAGGACTCTGACTTGTGGGAACGGGGAAGGGGTCCATTCTCGTGCTTCGACTTGAGTGAGGGTAGGTCCAACCATCAAAGATGGTCAGCTCCACTAAACCCTCTCTTTTTCTATCCCTTCACGACGCGGCAATCCTTCTGCCCGTTCGCCGCAGGCGCGACGGCGCAACCCCTCGCTGTCGGTGCTGGCGGCGGCCTGGGCGCTC